TTGTCTAGATTCTGACTTTTGGCAACACAATTCATGGTTTTCTTGGTGGAGAGTACTCAGAAATGGTTTACCATTCCCTCCTTCTGGGGTCATCCTGGACTGTGCAGCTTGCCCAAGGCCACACAGGCTGGCTCTTCTCCATGGAGACACAGTGTGGAACTGAACTCTCAGCTTCTGGCTCAATAGCCAGGTACCTAACCTGCTGAGATTTTAAGCCAGCTACATTATGCCTATAGGTTTCATTACATGCATTAGAATGTGCAAGGATTTTAATCTGTGTCAGTCTTCGTGTGGATTTCATGGAGTTTTTCTCCCAGAATGGATCTTGCTATAATAAATGTGTTATGTTTAAAGCACCTCTGATGGCTAAGATAGATGTAACTTCTATCTTGGATAAGCATGAGATGCTTGTAACACTTACTTTCTCCTTTATCATATGTGTGCCTTTTTTCAGATTCCATTTTATTGGTAGAAAGAATCCAGTTTTTCAGCTGTGTTTATATTCTCTGCTACAACAATTACAGCAAGGTTCAGCCTGTGAGTACTTCAACTTTTTAAAATAACTGTTCATCTCACTTATAAACTACCCATTTTAAAACACCTTCTACATCTTCCCTTTCCTTTGGATTTTTTAAAACTATATTTACTTTTCTCAGGGCAAGTCTCCTGCAGCCTATATGTTCTCCTTTAACTTCTTTGTAGTAGTCAGTACTAACGGCTGACCTTTCTTACTCAAGAAGCATTAATAACTGGTGCTTATGCTACCACGAGGTAATTCTTTAAAGGGCTAGACACAGCATTTCAGCAGTGCCCACCAATGGCATTCTTATCTAATGGACAAAGCAAAATGAAAAGATTCACTGACTTCCCAATATTTCAGAGTTCAAACTCACTATATAAAATAGAAGCCACAAACCAAATGATGACAAACAAAGGAATGAACCAGATTTGAGAAGTGATGCAAAGTACTGTATTATTGATTGGATTCAGATGTAGTCAATCTTAGAGCAGACCCAATGATATTAATAGGGCTTTGGTGAGTCATAATTACACAATTTCCACTTATATCAGTGTGTCTGTTCTATGTATAACTAGGTCTGAATAGAAACCTCTCTGTACGTGAATTTATGTAAATAGAGTTTTTAAAGTGAATTTAGGGAGAGTCCTTTTGTTGGAAGTGGGAAAACTGTTGTCCATCAGTCCCTCTTCATTTCTGTTTACCGAAATCTGCAGAAACTCTGAAAGAACTTCTCCATACTTTTTCTCATTTGTGTGGGGCTGATCTACTCCATCAGTACAGCAAAACTGCATCGTATAAAAGTAGGGCCCATAAATGTCAGTGAGGCATTTATGTAGGTATAACCCTATAACATAGACTGCACAACTTGTTTCTGTCTAAAGAACCAAACCCAACCTCCATTTTAACATCCAGATGTTCAGGGCCATCTTTGTGATGTTGTTAATCCCTTCTTTTCAGGAAATCAAGCCATGCAGTTCTGGATACTCAGGGTAGGATACAGTCAAACCTCTCAAGCTTCCCTGAAACCATGCATACACATTCCTTCCCAGAATCTTCCCCACCCACTCTCCAGCCTAGGAAGTTGCAGAAAATTCATACCCATTTGGCTTAGAGATGTGACTGCATCCAAAAAAGGAAAAAGAGAGAAAGAGAGAGATAAATGTAAAGGCACCAAAGGTTACATTAAAAGGCATCTTTCAGTCCAAACTGGAAATTGAAACAAAAACCTTCTCTACCTTGCAGATCAGCTTTGGTCAACTCAACTTTGTTAGCAAAAGAACGGAAAAAGCGAAAACAACAAACCAGAGGTTAGTAAAACGGCAGATTAAAAACAGGGTAACATCACTAAAATATACAAGTAAACAAAAAAAGGAACTAGGAAAACCAACACATCCTTTACACACATTTAAGAAACAAGGGAGGGTGATACCACCAAAGACAACATAAAGATCACACAGGAGAGAGACAATCATCATGGCCTCAGTCCTTCATCAACTGAACAACATCAAACCAAAACAACAGGCAACATGACACAGACTACAGTGTTTGGGAGTGGGAGAGAAGGACAGCCATGGAAGGAACACTAGAAGAAACTTTAGTGGTGCATGGTTCACCAACATTTATCAATGAAATAGGAAATGATGGTATATGTTTTATTTCTCATTGATGAGTTTCTGCATTCTCTGAGAAATGCCTAAGCATGACTGAAATCCAAAATATTTATGATCACTAATGAAAGGGAACAAAAGCGACAACTGGTGACACATCTTGTTGCCTTTAGGATTTGCAGATCCAGTCTGTTAAAATACAGGGAGATGCCTATCTCAGCTATCTTCCCTGCACAGACCTTTAAAAATGGCAATAGGGTAGGATGAGTGGAAAACAAGACAAGTCTCAGGGATGAAATGATGTTTTCTCCAGCACATGGTACAACAGTCAATTATGGCTTCCTGCTTACATGATGTTCTGGAAGAGCCTCTGCTTCTGACACAACATAAATATGAGGGTGTAGTTGGTCTATTCACTTTCTTACCCTCTGGATTCACCTTTGCTCTAGAATCATCAGGTAGCACCTACTGATAAGTGCCAATTTGGTCAGTTTTGGTCTATGTGTCAGCTGTACCTATTTTTCAAAAATACAGATCTGGCCACCATCAGGCATCCTTCTTTCATCATGCTACAACGTGCTTTATGCATATGTTTCTGGAAAGTGCAGCAATTGTGGTAGGTTTTTGTCAGGAGGATGAAGTTGCTGATGTTCACATTCCAGAAGCCCAATGTTGTTTTTTCTGCACAGGCTCTTAATATGTTTCCAAAGCCAATTCAAGGTCTTGCTTTTTGTCTTAAAAACCCTAAATGGTTTGAGTACATGATATCAAACCTTCACATACCATTAAAAATAATTTAAAAGTTGTTGCATATTTTCTGATCCCAATGGAAATTCCAGGATTAGTAGTATGGTTAGGATTGCCCCACCCTTGTACAGGAGCACTAAAGGTTCCTTAGCTCCTGAAAGATCCAACCATCTCTGTAGATCAGCGAAGAAAAGCTAGCTCCACATTCAACTGTCATCTAAAGTGCACTTGATGGTTATATCCAAGAAATATTCTCAGTTGTGGTACCCAAGTCCCTTTGGGAGTATACATAGCTCCTCCCTTTTCAGTGTCATAGAAAATACTCAAGAACCAGTGGTTGTTGTGCATTTTTCGGGCTGTTTGGCCTTGTTCTGGAGTTTTTTCTTCCTAATGTTTCACCAATCTCTGTGGCCAGCATCGTCAGAGGACAGGAGCTAGAACTTTTCTACTTCTGGTGTTGTGTGTGGGATTGTTGAACCCTTTATTTCAGAAGGCCTTACATTTGGACTATCATAGTCCATATTCAGCTTCGATTTGCTCTTGTTGCAGTTGCTGTTATTGTTGGTGTGTTATTACCATTGTGGCGCAGTGGTTAAACTAGTGTATTGTAGCCAAAACTGTGCTCACGATCCAGGGTTCAATCCCAGGTAGCCGGCACAAGGTTGACTCAGCCTTCTATCCTTCCAAGGTCAGTAAAATGAGTACCCAGCTTGCTGGGGGGGGGGCAATGTGTAGCCTGCATAATTAACTTGTAAACTGCCCAGAGAGTGCTTGAAGCACTATGGGGCAGTATAAAAGCAGCACACTTTGCTTTTTTATTTTTCCCAGCTTAGGGTGTATTGCCTTCCTCTACTGTTGTTCTGATCTTTCTTAAACCTTTTTCTTTTTCTTTTATTGTACTTCAGTATTTCACTGAGTACTGATTTGGTGGGTTTTTGAAATTTGCTTGTTTGTTTTTTCCTGAAGTGCAGCTCATAAATCAACAAATGACATCTAGGAAGTGTGACTGGAGTTTCTAGTCTCCCAGTGTAACATGGGTAGCCACGTTAGTCTTTTGGAGGCAAAAATTACAGTCTTCAGGAACTTTAAGGAGTAACCTTTATTTGCTTGGCATAAGATTTTGTGGACTAGATACCACTTCATTGGATTCACAATAATGAAGTCCCTGAAGCTTACAACATGTAAAACTTGTTAATCTTTATGTTGCCACTAGACTCTTTGCTGGTCTCTCATAGTTTAGGCCAAAGGACAGTATGAAGTACAGTAATACATAGAGTGGTCGAATCTGTCCAGATAGGCGGAATCTTTATGTTGCCACTAGACTCTTTGCTGGTCTCTCATAGTTTAGGCCAAAGGACAGTACAAAGTACAGTAGTACATATATCATACTTATGATGAAAACGTTGAGCTGTTGAAGTCTACCTACCAGACAGGTAAGAACCACAACTCCTACCTCAAATATAACCTGAATTTTGAAAAGCTAAAGCATGACATACTCTTGTTTCAGCAAGTAATGCAATAAGTTGTTCCTTTTCCATGGACACACTAAAATCTAAGGGTGTCTTACTACAGGATTAAACTTTTATGGGGATATTTTAAGACAAGATACGATAGCTCTGTATTTCCTCTAAGATCATCTAAGTTCTCAAAGATGTACTGCACATGCATTCAATAGAGATTCAACAAAACAAAGTCAGTGTTTGTTGTTTATGGAGGCTTGCTTCTTCATTTCAACAGATGGAATGCTGTTACAAGAGCCAAAGAAGCTTGTGACGAGATTTCTACTTAAAAATAATTGTGTACACTTTTGTTAATGATATGGTTGAAATGATAAATAGTGCTGTCTCAAGAGAAACAATCTGTGGCATCACCAAGTAGCACACACAAGGAAACCTTGGAGAGCTGCTGCCAGTTGGTGTAGACAATAACAAGGTTGACCAGTGATTTGACTCAATCTAAGGCAGCTTCCTATGTTTTTATCCTGCCCATATTTCTATTGCTAAAACATTGATTGACTAGAATCAGTCTTTGGTTTTAGAATTTCTTTTCCCTGCAGAAGGCAAAGGAGTTCAGATAATGGAAGTGAACAAGCAAATGTCTCATAAAATCCTCCAGAATACTGTAAAGAGTGTAAAAGCATTCATTTACATCACTGGAGGAAGAAATCTGACACAACATTCATCCCTCAGCTGCACTAAAGGGTGGATAAGAAATATACTAGCCTTCCTAGCTTATTATTTTCAGAAAATAGTAGCATAAAATGCTAGTATATGAATGGCAAAGGTTACATTCTACCACACTGGCTTCACCTTAATTTTCAACCCTATGTACACTTATATTGGAATAAGACCCACTCAACAAGGACTTACTTCCAAACAGATACTGTACAGAGTGGTACTGCATTTATTACCCCACAAATGAGAACAGGGAGTACAGTTTATTTTGGTTCTCCGCACTGCTACATATCTTGCATGTATGCTTTGCTTTGATAGTACATGTCACTATCTATAGATCACTTGGTTCAAGGGTCTAGCTGTAGAGCCAGTGGGCAGAAGTTTGAATCCCTACTTCAGATGGGCATTTACTATGGTTCAGTACTTTGGCACAGTTTGCTGGATTGGGTCCACAGGCATTGTGCAAGCACCCCAGATTCCACACTTGGCCTCCTCTGGTGGGAACCCACTCAGAGAAGGCGGTGGGGCAGGGAAGCACGCAGTGCTGCTTCTGATGAGGAACCCATAGGAGGAGGAGGAGGGGTATGGATTGCAGAGCACCCACGCAACACCTGCCACCCCAATCAGTGCCAAAGTGCCTAACTGTGTCCATCTCTGATCCCTACTGTGTTTTCCAGGGGAGGGGCCAGATGACACTTTATAGTGTGTGTCTGTGTGGCTGATGTTATGCGTCCTGCCACCCATGCAGCCTTGGGCAAACGACATAGTCCCAGGGTATCACTATAAGGAGGCCTAGAAAACCACTTTTGAGTATTTTATTTCTGGAAGGGTTTCCACAAGTTGCCATCAACTTGATGGCGCATAATTATTTATTAGATATAAAAACACTGGGATGGCAATTCCTTCTCTAGTGAAGGATTCTGGTTCTCCATCTGTTAACCTGTACTAGTGGAAAAAAAACTTTGAGGAACTTTTTAAAATGAGAGAATGCAATTTCTTTCTTCTCTCTCATTCTTCCTGAACATTTATGCCAAGAATAACATCATTTCTATGGAAAAAATACTTCAGTCTCAGACTGATTCCTCAAGAACTCTTAAAATTGTAACATCAGGGGTTGCCCCTCAAAATGCCTTTTTCACATTTTCACAGAACTCAAGCAGCTGCATCTAGTATAGATAAAAAAATCAGAGATGAAGAGGAAGGGGAACTACTTAGCACCACTAACATACTTCTTCATTAACAAAAGGTTTTACTAAGACCTCAATTGTAATGGAAAGTGTTGTCAAGATCTGAACTCATTCTTCAAGACTGGCTATTTTACCACATAATGATACTTTTGAAAAGTCAAAAGTCATTATGGGGTTTGATGATGAAAGGGGAAAATTGATCAGTAGTTTTATATGTTAACTCTTGGTTGCTAATATCATGACTGTTCTGAGAACAAAGTATATTTATGGGCAGGTTGCATTAACTAGAGTCTAGTATTAGGTTTAACGTCAGATGGTGGGCCAAATGGAGATGGTAGGAAACAGCTAACAAATGTCTCATGAAATACCGATGGTGTCGTAAACAAGCAAAACACACCACACAG